GTGCTGGGGAGCGAAGGAACCTTGTTCTCCCATGGGATGCCGTGGCTGATCTTTGGGGAAGGGTGGGTGGAAGGGAGAGTGGGGTTTTTTTCCCCCCTCAGGTGGACTTGTTCTGGTGGGCGTTCTCGTGGTCCCCTGTCTGTCCCCCGAGGAGCATCCCAGCAGAGGGCAGCACCCATCGCTCTCCCATGGGTGCTGCTCCAGAGCACCCATGCTTGATGCCAGGGCAGGCCAACCCCTCTCCCCTTGTGGTCCCCCACCTTGGGACATCCGCTAATAACTCCCACCTCTGCCGGGCTTCAAAGAGGCATTTTTGGGGCTGTAGCAAGGGGTTGAGGTGGGAACAGAGACACCGTGCAGATCTGTTCTTGCCCTCCCTGGTCTCTGGACATCTTCTGCCCTTTGTCTCTTTAACTGCATGGTTTATTTAGGAGCGATGCTCCTCTTACCCGCTATTTCCATACGTTACGGTGCTGCATCTCCCCATGTCTGTCCATGCACACAGCAGGGTCTTGGCGCACCGCAGCGATGCTGAAGCAAGGACCAAGCAGGACACTGATGGTTTCATGGCACCTTGTCCCAGCGGTGCCGGTTGCCGGTGGGTGCCAAAGCCTGACCCAATGCGCTACTGCATTCAACCTCCAAATCATGCATCATACGAGCCAGTGAGCAAAATACAAATTACAGGAGCTGATCTTCAGGCGGAGGCTGCATTACCCAGCTGGGATGATGCCTTGCAACAACAGGAAGGGTGGCTGTTGGCCCTCAATGGCCGTGTGAGCTGTTTCCTGGCTTGTAACGAATTGGTACCGCAGCAACCATAGGCTGGGCAGAGGCTGAGTAGGAGGGGGAAGACTCGGTGCTCGTGCTCGAGAGGAGGTGGGTGCTGGCACAGCCTGCACCGTGACTAACGCCGACACCCAAGCCGGTATCTGCGCAGAGGTTTCTCCTCTCTCGGCACCGTTTCTGCCCATCATCCCTGGGTGATGCACTCAGAACTTCTTTATGTGCAAGCATTGCACGTCTCCCAGCGCGGTGCGGAGCTCCGTGCAGAGGGATGATGTCTCTAGGTTGGGTTCTTCGTGGCTCGCGTTGCTCCTGGGTTTGGTCCCTGGCTGCTCCGGACTCTCCAGCAAAGCAGTGGGAAATCCTCCTGGAGCGGGGTTTGCTTCCCTGCGCTGCTTGGACTTTCCAGCAGGGCTTGGGGGGCTGCAATACCCCTGGGCGATGCTTTTCCATCTTCCCTGCTATTTGCTTGGGTTTCTTTATCTTTCATCCTGCTTTCAACAAGCAGGACCGGGCAGCGCTCTCTTCTGTGGGTCAAATCAGCCTCGTGCTTTTCGTCTGAAGTCAGAAACCGCAGCTTTTAAGCAAAGCCCTTTGGATTGCAAAATAGTCCGAGGTGGTAGAAGGGATTCACTCCTGAATTGTGGAGCATTATCCCTTCTTGTTCAGGGCTGGAGGGATGGGGGGAGCTGGGGCTGAGCCTTTGCAAGGGACTGAAGCAAAGAGGCACCTGCAACCCATTGGAAAATCGGTGTTTAATTGAGATTTGCCACTGGGTCTTGCCTCTCCTCAAGCACCTTCCCCTGTCTCTGGCCCAGCAAGCTTGTGTTTCAGGAACTTTAAATAATCCACAAACTGAGCTGCTAGGAATCTTCCTTAAATAGACTGCAAGCCCTTTGTGTAAAAAGCTATAAGGTTTCTAGGTTGTTACAACATGTGAAAATAGTTGGGGTTTTCCTCCCTGCCAGAAAAAAATGAAAATTTTAAAGCTGTGCGGTGATTACCTGCTAATGAAAAAGTCGAATGAGGAACAGTCTGCAAAATCCTCTTAGTGCGAAGAAATTGCTAGTAGGCATGTTTAGGAGATAACCGCATCCGTTCCCCCCTTCTTAATTACGGCGAATATGTACCCAAATGATGTGCTGAGGTGCTTTGATGTAGTAGTTTCACCTGGTGATGCACCTCTAAAAAGGAAAAAAAAATAATTAGCCGGTGATACAAAGCACCAATAGAGCTCACTTATTAATAACCAAAATGGTGCTGGATACGTCTGGCCGTAAGGAAGGGGTGTGGGATGGAGGGGTGCTGAGATCCTGCTTCCGAAATGGAAACTCCTGCTTTGGTGGCAAAGTTGGGAAAACAAGGGTGGCGTAGCTGCGAGGGTGTTACTGCGCGCGAGAGGTAAATCTGGTTTGAAGGCACGGGGAGTACGGCAGCCCTCGCTACGGCTGCCGGAATGAAGGTATTTTTTTGGCGAAATGGCCATTTCTGCTTAAGGGAGTGTTGAAAGATGGGTGGCCAGCGGTAACAACCCCATTAAAAATGGGGCTGAAAAATCTTCCATGTTAAAAAAATAAAAAGTCTTTATTTGTAGGTGCTGCTGTTCCCATTTTTGGGCAGGTGAGAACAGGCAGGAGGACCTCAAGAGTTTCCCAGCTGTGACCTGGGCTCTGTCCCGGTGAAGGGGATGCCGGGATGCTCGCTGGATGCCAGGGTTTGGTCCAGACTAAACGCAGCTTCTCCGCCGGAGTGAAATGTAACCTGGCTCAGCAAGAAGCTGGGGGAGGAAGGTGCGTCAGGGCTGATGCTGAGCACCGGGCCTCTGCACCATGTAGGGATGCCGCTGGCTTCACTGGTGTGCTCGCTGGGCTCCAGCCGGCGTTTACCGTGTGGTTTAGGGTCTGCCCCTGCCTGTGCGTTGGGGAAGGGGGTTAATTGCCGTCCTGCTCCTGTTTTCAAGCCAGGCCCTGGATGCTTTTTGTGCTGATGCAAAGCTGCTGTTGCAGGATCCTCTGATTCATCCCCACGGAGGGCTCACACCCAGGCTGGGTTTCTTCTCCCAGTTGTTGATTGCACTGGCGG